GGCACCACTCAGGCCCTTGTGGCGCCAGCGCCGCTCACACAGGCTTTGCGGACATCCGTGATCCTAGAGTTGGATGGTGGCAGCGACCTCATCTTCTAACTTGGGCAGCACCGAATCAGTAAAAATCTGGGTTGGTAAGTCTTGCGTCCACATTTTCCTAAATTTTTCAGTGTATTATTTGTAAGACCTATACCTTCCCCATTTTTAAGCAACTCAGGCCCAGAGTGGGGAAAAAGCCACAAAGAAGCATTAGTTTAGCAACTTCAGTTAGCAACTTCAGTGAGATCTTTTTTTCTTTTCTTTTTATTTTAGTTTTGTTACACGGCATGTGCACTCACCAGAGAGAGTGAAGAGAAGAAGGCACTGCCAGGTGGCCGTACCGCAGTCCCTCTCTCCTCCACTCTCTTCTCGGCTCACTCACCTGCAGTGTTTTTCAAGCCGCTGGGTCGGTGCTCAAGACTCGATCTGCAGAGCCAGCCATGGGGAATCCAACTGCCTTAACCACTATGCCACTTCTCTTTCAAATCAGGCCTTATGTTGAGAGGTAGGAATCAGAGTTAAATTGTCATGACCTTTCCCTCAGAAGGACTAAACTCTACCAGGAAGAAATATATCAAGGGGCTGTTAGGGTGCGATATTGGGGCATCTGCCCAGACGCAAGGTCGGGGTCGGTGCCAGGAAGAGGAGCCTGCTCTGCTCAGGGCAGCTGAAAGGAAAGCATTTCAAAGGGGAGGCGATTAAAACTGGCGATTTTTTCTCTCCTCCTTTTTCCCTCCCTCCTTCCTTCTCTCTCCCTCTCTTCTTCCTTCTACCCCTCCCCCTTTGAGGCACGCTCACTGAGAGCCAGGTGCCATGAAGGAGGGCGGGACCTGCACGCACAGGTGCTCAGGTATCTGCAAGCCCGTCTGTCCTCAGGGCTCACAGGCCTGGAGAGGAGCTGGAGGCACCTGGATGCCAAGCCTGAGTGTAAGGGGCGTCAGCCTGTCCAGAGGACCAGAGTGATAGAGCCGGAGCTCATCGCAGAGCCTCGGCGGAGTACACGTTTTCTTTCTTCTCCTTCTCTTTCTTTCTCTTTTTCTTTTTATTTCTTTCTTCCTTTCTCTTCTTCTCTCTTCTTTCATTCTTTTTCTATTTTTCTTCTTTCTTTCTACTGTTCTTTCTTATCCTTTCTTTTCTTTCTCTTTCTTCCCTTTCTTTTCTTTCTTTCTGTTCGTTCTTTCTTTCTCTTCCTTCCTTTCTTCTTTCATCTTTCTCTTTCCGTTCGTCTTTCTTCCTTTCTCTATAGTTTATTTATTTCTTCGATCAGAGAGAGAGAGAGACAAAGAGAGAAAGACAGTCACCCCCAACAGGGTCCTCATGCCACAGCCCACCCCACACTCAGCCAGCCAGCCTCACAGGTGTGCACGTGCGTGTTCCGTGTGTACAAAGACCTTGGAAGGCACGTGTGGGACTGCCCCACGTGGCATGATGGCTGCACCTCCAGGGCTGGCTGATGGAGGACACTTCCTAGGACAGACAAGACCGGTGGCAAAGCAGTGTGAGTGGGAGAAGGTGCAGGCTGAAGCAGGACCACCATAGCCAGCACAGACCAGGGGACACATGGAGAAACCTGTTCAGCAACAGAACAGCTTGGTTTTCTTCCTTCCTTCTTCTTTCTTTCTTTTTCTTTTTCTAACAGGATAGCTGGCTGGAGAATCCTGGTCATTTGAAATGACCGCTAGAATACTGGCAGAGGGCGGTGCTGCTATGAAGGGGTGGAGAGGCCTGACGTCTGCGACTGGTCGGGTGCCGTTTTCCAGAGTCCCGTTCCGGCCGTGTGCGGTGTCCTGAGCTAACGTGGTAAGGCAGTGATGGGCTGTGTCCCAATCCATTTTTAAAAATCCCTTTTCACTTGCTTTGGGTAGCCTTCTCTTCTGAATGCCAATCTTCACAAATGGGATGAAGTTGTATTTCAGAATACAACTTCTGACTGAGACAGATCTGGAGAGGTCCTTGGGGGCCGGCAGCCCGAGCCCTGGGGTCTTATAGCGGAGGGGAAGCTCAAATCCAAGGTGGCCGATGGGGACAGGGGTACAGCTGTGGGGCTCCTCGGTCCACCAGGGAGGGGAGTGTCACTGTGACATTCCTCACCTTCCCCCACTGTCCTCACCTAGATTACTTCCTCTGCCTCTCTCCTGTCTTCACACAGGAAGTGGACTTGAGCCGCCATCACGTAGTTTCCTCCTTAATAAATTTACTGCACTAAGCCGGCATTACTATGCTCGGAATGGCATTTGATTCACGTATTAGTCACACGCTCATCATTCCGAATGACTCCTCAGAAAAAATAATGCAGTTTTTTCTTTTTCTTTTATTTCTTATAAAATACCTTATAGAAAATGGTTTTTACTCAAGTTTTTTTAAACTCGTGTCTGCCCTTAAAATAAGAATTGCTTCGTTGTGTTATATTTCTTAACTGTCTTAAATGTAATATATTTAGCATCTATGCAATAATGCATTTATTATTAACATTTTAGATTAAAATTGGAGAACAAGGAAGAAACACTCCAGTGGGATATTTTATAGTAGCAGATTAATTGCATGTCTAGAAGAAAATGTGTTAGGGCTCATGATAATTTGTGAAGTAAAAAACCACAGAAAGCAGATCGTGGGATCCTGACCCTCCCCACCTACCACCCCATTTCAAAAATATCAAACTTACTACAACATAACACATGTTTAGTTTCTCAGTAAGTTGCTATCTCCCATTAGTCCCACTGATGAGATGAAATGCATGTATCTTTAGGAAAAAATCCTTTTATTTCTAAAATATGAACGTCAACTTTTGTCTGTAAGAAGCCTAAGATTGTCCCAAGGAAAGGTAACTATGCAAGGTCACTGAGGACTAGGCTGGACTGTGTGTGTGTGGGGGGGAGAGCTACCTCCCACAGGGGCGTGGTCTGCACTCCAGCTGCCAGCTGCGGCTGCAGCTGCTGCAGGACCCCAGATGGAGTTCTGGGCTCTCCTTGGCAGCCTCCAGGTCCTCCTCTGTGAAATGGGCAGGATGCGCTTCAGAGTGTTGTGGGAAATAAAGGAGGGAGAGCTTCTGACAGTGACTGCCCGATAAATAGCAACCACTAGCTTTTCATACCACCGCGTTTCACAGAAGAAAAAGGAAAAAGGAAGCGTAAACACTATGCCCTGAACGCGGTTATTTCTCTAGGTTCTGCTTTCTCCCTGACCCATTGCAAGAGATCGCATGAGAGAATTTGTGAGAAGATGCACATTGTCGTATGTTCCAATGATTCCCCAGTCCTGCATAAGCTACCCATGAAGACTTAGTTCCCAGAAGTAGAGAAAGATCTTATTTGAACCAACCTGAGGCCTCAGACATTTAGGTCCAGAGTTATAGATAGATTTTCTAATGTTTCAATACAAATTTATGCTGCTAACGCTACAGCGTGAGGCCACTAGAAGAGGCAGAAGCCAACAGAGTGCTGCTAATCTGTCTTAAGTTTGGGGAAGAGGGGCCTCCATTGACAAATATTTTGTCCCTATTCGTTTCTGAGTTACATTGAAAGGATTTTCTTACATCTTTTATGTGAAACAAATATTTCTGAATACAGTGAAAAAGAAAAACCACTGTATCACATGACAAGTGGGGAACGTATTTTCCTTTCCCCTTTCATTAAAACACACACACACACACACACACACCAAACACAACAAGGAATAATGAAAGGAAAACAAACAGCCATTCCATTCCAAGGAGGAGGGGCAGAGTGGCTGCAGAGGGCAGCTGCAGTGTGTCTGGCGTCCCAGTTCTTTCCTTTCCCATCATTCTACCACTTAATGGACCAAGAATGTGGACAATTCCAGCTATGGCTGTTTTGCGTTTTCATTTCTTGCCTTAAATTCTGTGTCCTGCTTTTTTGCTTCCTGCACTGAGTCCTGGAGCCGACAGGGGCACTTCAGAGGTTGCTCGAAGCCCCCCAAGCCGGTGGCTCTTGCTCCTTTTTCAGCCTCCTCTTCCCAGGAGGCCCCCGACAGTCAGAAGGGCTCACACCACCTTTGTAAGTGCTTATCAAAGTCATCAAACCCTCGAGCCTCTTTCAAGCATTTCTCACTGTGGCTTTAGTTGGGTACCAATTGCCTGAACATTTACACACCTTTCACTGTGTGACCTTTAGCAAGATGACCTCAATTCTACAACAAGACAGCACAGGGAGGGAAGAAATAATGGATGAGGCGATTCCTTAGGGGGTCTTGGGGATGTTTCCGTTCTGAAACATGCTTCCTAACTTATAGGAAAAAAACTCGTAGCTGTGAATATTTTCCACCTTAATACTGAGTGTTACATATGGATCTTCAAAAAATAAAAATTGACTTTTTTCTACAATTCATTACAACACAATGCAAAACTACCATTTCTCCAAATTTTCCTTCAATCCATCACTATCTTTTTCACAAATCTTTACAACTTTTTAATTCCCTGACTTATTTACAGATAAAAATTTATTTTCAGGGGTGACACTTAAAAGTGCTGAAAGTGTAGGTTTTTAAAGCATCGCTAGTGTTTTGTTTGCAAAAAGGATTTATTTTTAAGAGAGAGATTTTTGCTACAGGGCACATGAGCTTGCTGGAGAGACAGAGAGACAAAGAGATAGAAATCACCCTCCCCTCTAGACGGAGATAGCCATGCTGCAATCTCCTTTTCTCCGTCCTCTCAGGATTTTGGACACACATGCACACGCACCCAGCGTGAGTTTCACGCTGCCATATCTGGGACTTGAAACACAGATGGCCATGTGGGAGTTCAGAGACATAACCATTAGCCATGTGCTGGTCCTGCGAAAAGGAGGAATTTTTAATAAAATCTTAAAGTATTGCTCATCACTTGCAGAATGTGAGGAATCTAAAAACATAGCTATGAGGTTCATTAAATCTACAATCATTGTGTAAATGTCTGTATCTGGACAAACAGTTCTCTCCTCCTTCTAAGAGCATTGAGTTTTTTCTGAAATTTTGATATGTGGTACACTTATTTCATTGCTGGAGATTGTACCTAGCATAGCTGACATTTCTACATGGTAGCAGAGGGTTTCAGGCTGCGCGTGTGTCCCTGGGCTTGGGGCAGTGGTGTATTTCTTAGCACAGAACATCAGATCCCATCATGTCAGCTGCTCATCCTCACTAATGAAACATGATCTACCGCCATCATGGATTAAGCCGTGTCAAGTCATCCACAAACGCTCACCAAGGAAATTGATCTAGAACTCTTACCCAATTTAGCACTGTTTTTCATGCAAATGGAAAAACTGAAACTGTCCAGAGTGAAACTCTGCCCAGTCTTGTGCAGGGAAGAGAAGTTTTTAAAAAATAAAGCACAGTTCTTCAACTTCATTGGCCAGCAATATTCCTTGGGCGTGTGTTACAAATGAAGATTCTGTGTCTCCAACCCCAGAGTTTTTGACACATGGGACCCTAAACTCGGGTTTAACAAGAACCCAGGGTAAATCTGGCATCCCTTGTCTTCTTGGACAAACACATGAGAGTTGTGTTGGGTCCTATATCTTCCTGAGACATCACACACCAGGAAGTCGTGTTCTGAGCAGCGTGGACAAAGGCAACACTCTGAAGTTAGAGAGCTTTGCTAGTGACCCCAGCTCATTTCTGTCCTCCGCTCATTTTCTCCTTCCCCAGGGACTTTAGGTGTCCCCACTGTTGAGTCTCCATGGAGCTGACTTATCAAGCTCTGAGACTTTTATTTTTTCTTCATTTCTCCCTATCCTCCACCCCACACTCAACCTAAGCATTATGAGTGTCATGCTTAAGGCAATAGTCAGGTGTCTGAGGAACGTCCATGTTGAGGGGTTATGACTGTTACCACGTCAATGTGTGTCTCTCCTAGGCCCATGTTCTTTTTAACAAAGGGCTCTAAAATGTGTGGGATGTTACCATAAGGGAGAAATCTCAAATGCCAAAGTTCAGATGCCCTGGCAGTACCAGGGGAGAGATAATTTTGGTCTCCTTTCCTCTTGGCAGGTCTCCTTGTAAAATCAGCTCTGTTCTTAAGAATGCACAGGATTTCCTTTGCAGACTAATGTAGAAGTTGAAGAGTACAAAGCTGACCACAAAGGCATGAAGAGTGCCAAATTCTTGTATTTCAGCTTTGCGGGTTGGGGTGGATGGGCTCAACCTGGAAAAAAAATGGCTAACATTACTTAAATGCAGTTGACTCTAAAATGATACTAATCCAAATTATATAGCCAGCATGAGCGTTTGCAGTGGGAAATAGCTCTCTCCAGAGTTAGGCTGTTCAGCCAACAGAAGATCAGCTTCTGTCACAGGAATTTAGGATCAAAAATCACCGTGCTCTTCTCCCAGAGAGCCTGCTCCAATGCTCCTGGAGGCCAGAGTCATGCATTTGCCCTGACCAGCAGAGGGGGAGAGCTGTGGAAGTGACACGGATGCTGAGATGAACCTGGCCCGATGAGGATAACACCACTGGTCCAGAACTGGCCCTAGTACTGGTTAGCCGCACAAACTCTTAGCCTCAGTATCCTCTCTGTGAAATGAGGAAGCACACTGGTACATGGTGCGCACTGTATCATCATACCATCAGTATTATTATTAGCCCTCCTAGGGAAGTTAGAAAGCTAAACTTCATGTTGGGGTCCATCGGTCTCTCTGCTTGGGTAGGAGTAGAAATATTGTGAGAATTTCTTTTACGTATTTTCTAGTCACAGAGCATGTATACCTCTTGCAATTCATGGGACAGAAACTAAGGCCTCTTGGGGCTGGCAGGTGGCATGATGGTTAAGGGTGCTGACTCCCACATGGCCAATCATGGTTTGAGTCCCAGACCCAGCGGCTTGCTTTCTCACTTTCTTTTTCTCTCACTCTGTCTCTCTCTGGTCCAAGGCCCGATGAGGATAACACCACTGGTCCAGAACTGGCCCTAGTACTGGTTAGCCGCACAAACTCTTAGCCTCAGTATCCTCTCTGTGAAATGAGGAAGCACACTGGTACATGGTGCGCACTGTATCATCATACCATCAGTATTATTATTAGCCCTCCTAGGGAAGTTAGAAAGCTAAACTTCATGTTGGGGTCCATCGGTCTCTCTGCTTGGGTAGGAGTAGAAATATTGTGAGAATTTCTTTTACGTATTTTCTAGTCACAGAGCATGTATACCTCTTGCAATTCATGGGACAGAAACTAAGGCCTCTTGGGGCTGGCAGGTGGCATGATGGTTAAGGGTGCTGACTCCCACATGGCCAATCATGGTTTGAGTCCCAGACCCAGCGGCTTGCTTTCTCACTTTCTTTTTCTCTCACTCTGTCTCTCTCTGGTCCAATTAAAATAAATAAATAAATGTTAAAATAATTTTTGTAAAGAAGCTAAAGTTTCTGTATTTTCCTAATATTAAAATATTAATAAATTGATTGTTGCCACAATCAGCTTCTTCAAAATCACTTAGAATTTGTCTCTGTTAGTATTATTTTATTGTGTTAAATCGAACTGATTAAAAAAAAAACTATCAACTTTAACATCGTAAACTGCAAAATGACATTGCAAAGCATTACAAACTTTTGCTTTAAAATTCAAGGTTGGTTTCTGTTAACATATATTTTCTCAGGGAGAAAAAATATGTCCTTACAGCCTCTTGAACTTAGAACAAGGTAAGGAGATGCACATTCATTTTTCATAAAAAGTTCAGTGTTTCTTATCATTTTATTCTCCTTTAATATTTTTTCTGGCCTCATCAAGTATAACTGACAAATGATATAGTATAAATTCAAGGTATATAGTATGATGCTTTGATACATGAAGATAGTATAAAATGTTTACAACGCATCTGTGTTCCTGTTGCAAGAACATTTAATACATACTGTCTTAGCAAATGGCAATTATGCAGCATATTGTTAGCTATCATGCTACACAGTACAGCCTAAGAACTTACTTATTTTATAACTGAAACTTTGCGACCTTTGACCAATGTCTCCATCCCATAGCAACAACTGTACTACTCATGGTTTCTATGAATTTAGCTTTTTTGGAGTCTATGTATAAGTGAGATAATACAGTATTTGTCTTTTTCAGTCCAATTTATTTCATTTAGCATAATACCCTCAATTGTCATCCATGTTGTTGCAAAAGGCAGAATTTTCTTCATTTTTAAGACTGAGTAATATTTCAGTGTGTATATATATACCACGTCTTACTAATCAATTAATCTATCAGCAGACACTAGTTATGTCCACCTCTTGGCTATTGTGAATAATATTGCAGTGAACCTGGGAGTACAACTGTCTCTTCAATATATGTTTTTATTTCCTTCAGATATATACCTAAAAGTGGAATTGTTAGTGTATGGTATTATAGTTTTCTTTTCAATTTTTAAAAATACCTTCCTACTGGGACCAGCAGATGGCACAATGGTTGTATTGCTGGACTCCCACATGGCCAACCATAGTTTAAGTCCCAAACCCGGTGACTTGAAACTCATGCTGGGCCCAGGTGCATGTGGGCCCAAAATCTCGAGAGGAAAATGGAAGAGAAGGGATTTTAGTATGGCCATCACCTCTGGGGGGGCAGGGGGGGAGTGATTTCTCACTTTTTGTCTCTCCAGCAAGAACAAGCACCCTGTAACAAAAATCTCTAAAAAACAAACCCAAAACACTCCACACTGTTTTCAGTAATGGCCATACCAATTTACATTTTTCACCAAAAGTGCACAAGAGTTCTTTCCTCACATTCTCACTAACATCTATTATCTCATATCTTTTTGATAATAACCATTTTAACAGGCATAAAGAGATGTCACACTGTAGTTTTGATTTACATTCCACTGATGAAGTTGAGCACCTTTTCATGTGCCTTTCAGTCCATTTGTATTCTTCTTTGAAAAAATTTCTGTTCAGGTACTTCGCCCATTTTTAAATCAAGCTATTGGCTTTTGCTATTGAGTTGTACAAGTTCCTTATATTTTGGATATTTACTACTTAATGGGCACATGGTTTGTAAATATTTTCTCTCATTCCATAGGCTGTACTTCACTTTGTTGATTGCTCATTTTTCTGAGCAGAAACTTTTTAGTTTGATATAGTCTCATATGCTTATTTTTGGCTTTGTTACTTATGCTTTTATTTATTTATTTATTTATTTTGAGAGGTTTTCGCTATAGGGTGCATGCGCTCACCAGACAGACAGAGAGAGACAGAGAGACAGAAAGCGAGAAATCACCCCCCAGGGGGGATATGTCAGGGAGCTTTTTGCCTGTTTCTTTCTAATAGTTTTAAAGCTTCAGGTTTTACATTTGAATCGTTTATCCATTTCAAGTTAATTTTGATGAGTAGGATAGAGGTCCAATTTTATTCTTTTGCATGTGGGTATACAGTTTTTCCAACAACATTTACTGTAGAGACAATCCTTTTCTTATCTTGTATTCCTGGTTCCCTTCTCAAATATATGTGTGGGTATATATCTGGACTGTATTCTGTTCCATTGGCCTACTATCTTTTTTTTAATGCCAGTACATAATGTTTTGATTACTATAGCTTTGGGATATAATTGGAAATCAGGAACAGTGATGTCTCCAGCTTTGTTCTTACTCAAGAATTCTTGGACTATCTATGATCTTTCGTGGATGCATAAAAACTTTAGACTGATTTTCCTGTATCTGTGAAAAATGCCACTGGCATTTTGACAGAGATCATACTGAATCTATAGATTATTTTGCATAATAAGGACATTTTGACAATATTAATTCATCTGATTAGTAAACATAGTATATGTTCCTATGTATTGATACTTGAATTTCTTTCTTAAAAAAGTTTATCCATTTACTTGTTCCATAGGAGAGAGAAACAGAGAGAGAAAAGAGGAGATAAAGATCCACCCCAGTCCCAGACAGCCTGAATCAGTTATGTGTTCATGAACCAGGCATGCTCAAGTGAGTCCTGGAAAGTGAAATGCAGGAGACTTCGATACTGATCCAGTTATGTTACCACCATACCTGGCCCTCTCTTCATTTAAAAAAAAAAAAGCATCTTTTAGTTTTCAGTGTATATACAACTTAGCTAAATTTATTAAATATTTTGTTCTTCTTGATGTTATTATAAATAGGATTTTTCAAAAAATTATTTCCCAAATTCTTGTTATTAGTATATGGAAATACAACTGATTTTTTTTTTTATTTTGACTTCGTATCCTTCAACTTTACTGAATTTGCTGTTAGTTCAAACAGCGTTTTTGGTATTATGTATGTGTGTGTGTGTATGTGTGTGTATTTAGAATATATATATACATATATATGTATATATGTATGTATTTAGAGAGATTTTTGCTTTTTTTGCTGTAGGGCATGTGTGCTTGCTGAAGAGACAGAAAGACAGAAAGTGAGAAATCACCCCCCAGGAAGGATGGCCATGCTGCAATCCCTTTTCCATTCTCCTCTTGGTATTTTGGGCATGCATGCACACAGGCCTGGCATGAGTTTTAAGCCACCAGCTCCAGGACTGAAATCATGGTCAACTATGTGGGAGTCCAGTGATGTAACCATTAGGCTATCTCCTGGTCCCTTTTTAGTAGTTTTAAGGATTTTCTATATACATGATTATATCTGTAAACAAACCATTTTACTTCTTGTTTTTATGGCTTTTATGTTTTTTTTTTTTCTCCCCTAATTACTCTGGCCAGGACTTCCAGTATTATGTTGAATGGAAATGGTGAGAGTGAGCAATCTTGTCAAACTCCTATAAATAATTTTTTGAATAGGAGTTTGGGATACAAGTTGCCTGGTGCTACCTACAGCCATACCTTTGGTTATCATATCAATATATTTCCATTTATCCATTCGAGAATAATGATGGGGCACGTATTATATGACAGACGTTGGACGGTATGGCCACACAGTGTACAACAGTAGATAACAGTGAGGAGTTTATCTGCATTCCAGGCCTTCTATTTTTGCATTCATGCTAGAACAAGAACCAGCTTCCCCTGTGTTGGAACTTACGTTTATGTGTCCATTCTGGATAAGCCTTAGGGAAAGCTTGACAAACACCGTCAGAGCCACACAGAGCAGGGCAAAGCTCAGGCACAGGTCCAGGACTTGGAGTGCCAAGTGGTACTCTTCATAGTGCGGTGGGTCCACACAGACAGAGGGGAATTTTGTGTATGGAAAAGGAAAGGCAACTGCATAGCCAAGGTAATTGGTCCCCGTAATTCCTGAAAATGAGTAGAAGCAGTATGGGCCAAGGAGCGCAGATTCCAAGGCAATTACAAAATGCAGTGGGCATCCCATAGTGCTCAGAATCACAAAGGTGAAACCCGCTTCCCACTGAAAATAAAGCAGAAACAAATCGTTACTTCAGGGACAGATACTTCCAAAACTTTGGAATATGAAGAAAGATAAGCATGGTCTATGTGTTTCCCACTGGGAAAAGAAGTGGAGATGGGTTACAGTCTTCTCTTTAGGCTCTTGTATTCTCATCTCCAATCTATACCGCAGGGAAATAACGTATCAGGCAACTGGGGTAAAAATGAAATCAACTCATTTCAATAAACATTTACTCATATGTCTCCCACCACATGCAGAGAACTGACCTGGACTGGACCAAATAAAAATGATTAAGCAGAATCCACACCCTAGGACCTTTCTTTTCAGGGTGCGATCCACGGTCCACTAGCACTGACGTCCCCTGCAAGCCTAGCAGAAATGTATACTCTTAGGCCTTAGCCAGATCTACTGAGTCAAAATCTGCATTAAAACCAGTTCCTCAAGTGATTTATGTATATATTAAAGTGTGAGAAGCACCACCTTAGCCATGAGAAGAAAGTCTATAATTGGTTAAGTTCGGTTTTCTGTATTATAGAATTAGTTGGCTCTATACTGTTTCGATATAAGATGCCATAGACCTTTCTGCCTTTTGTAGATGGAGAGCTAAGTGATGGAATGAGAAAAGACCTTGGCTTCAGTTGAGACTTAAGCCTGTATTTTTATTTTTATTTTTATTTTTTGGAGAGGTTTTTGCCATAGGGCACATGCGCCCGCCAGAAAGATAGAGAGAGACAGAGAGACAGAAAGCGAGAAATCACCCTCTAGGGTGGATGGCCACTCCGCAATCCCTTCTCCTCCATTCTCCTCTCGGGATCTTGGGCACGCATGCACACGCGCCCAGTGTGCGTTTAAGTCACCAGGTCTGGGACTCAAACTGCGGTCGACTACATGGGAGTCCCATGACATAGTCATTACTCTAACTGCTGGTCCCTTAAACCTGTATTATTGAAAGCAGAGGAAATTTTATTCATGAAATTTAGTAGAATTAACAATGGCTTTTTCTTCCTCAAATACAATAGTAATCAGAGGAATTTGTAGGGAATCTTTAGTGAGAGATCAGATAAAATGTATTTCTTTAAAACAGCTTACTCTTGAGACCCATCACAGTAAGTCATCAATTAGGTCAGGGTCAGTGATCATTGAAAATCATGCTCACTCTTACCTATCCTTTATTTCTCCCTCAAACCCACTTTCCCAGCCCGCTCAGTGCCTCTATTTACCAGGGATCTCTGTGTCCACTCCTTACAAGCCAGTAGCAGCAGCCCACCAGCCGTGCTGGCCTGTGAAAAGAAAAGGAAACCATGACGTCTATGACGGAAGGTAGCCCTGGAAGGGGCTCGGTTGTCTCACAGGTTGACAACTTTATCATGAACTAGAAAGAACAGCGAATGGCTACCTGGATTTACAGCTCTGATCTCCTCCTCATCCATGGAAGAGACTGATGGCAATGAGGAAAATAAGCCATTAGTGTCAGAAAGGCGTGATTCACTTAAGCTTGTGTTTGGATTCTCTTGGTTGCCTTTGTCATCACGATGATAAGCTCAGCTACCGTAAGGTGTCGCTGTAATAGAAACCTGACTTTATAACCCTTGCCATATGTTCCGTGTTGATTCCTGTCTGCTGTGCATCTTTCTCACAAATTGCTAACATTGTAAATGGGAGACACAGAATGGAAATGCGTCGCAGAACCCTGAAAACCCTCCCAGTGGTGGTATTATCTCTATTTGCTTTCTTTCGAGATTCTACAGTCTCGGCCTGCTGTTGGGACACAAATACATGACCCTGTTTCTCAAGTGACAATTATCATTAGAATGAATACATCACGTGACAGTTATTGTTCAGGGTGCAGGGGTGTCCAGCTTTTCCAGGGAGAGTTCTTTCTAGTGTTCGTTGAAGGAAAAAGACCCAAAGTGCAGAATGAAAGTAGTTCAACAAAGGAGGCCATGGTGTCACTAGAACTGAGCCATAGATAATGAGGACGCAAGACCTCGGGGCTCGCTGACTCTCACCTGGTCTGATGAAGGAGACCTTTGTGGTTACGGAGGCTGGAAGTTGCTTGCTCCCCATCCACGTGAGTCATTTGCTCTTAGTCAAGAAACGTTTTGAAATTGAGAGCAAAAACCAGGAATAGATGAGCTTAAGACGTAGAATGGAGACAGGTCTAAAAATAGTATGATTTTGGTTTTTGATAGAGAAATAAATATGATCGTATGTATAGAATCAACAAATTCATGGCAAAAAAATAAAAATAAAAATAAAAAATCAGTGCTTTTTGCCCAATATGGCTTTGTGGTATGTGCTTTCGTAGCTCAGGGTCTGGCATATTTATTGTTTTGAGACTTAGCTTTTCATTTTCTGGCAGATTTTATTTTGAAAGTTGGATTCAAGGAATTTGAGAGAGGGAAAACACACACACACACACACACCACACACACACCACACACACACATGCACGTACACACATATACACATATGAAGTCACACCAAACTTCTTATGCAGCTTAATCTGAAATTTCTGACTTGGCATCACCATACCATAAAACTCCCATGGATAAAAACTGAACCATCTGTAGTTAAAAGAGGTTCCTGTCTTGATTTTGTGAGGGGAAAGTTTCCAAGGGACCCTATGGAGGTTAGACCATAAATAGTGCAACCGAACAGGAGAATTATTGACAGCAGCTATTAACGCTGCAGCCGTGGAGTGAGCCTGGGCTGGTCTCCGCTATAAGAGACATCCATCAATTCACACATCACGCCTCTGCCCCTCATCGAGAGAAACATGAAGGCAGGATAAAAGCGAAGGAGCTGGGGTCCACACCCTCTTCTGATTGTGCTCTGAGTAGACAGCCGCCATTATCAGATGCCTAGATTCCAGGCTGCCCTCACCACTCTGGCTTGAGTTGGTTCTTTCCTTTCAGAAGTTGAAAACTGCTGTAGAACTGCAGTTGCCTGTGATTTCTATGGTAACTGCCAGCCTGAATTTTGCTTTGTTTACACAAAACTTGGAAAAAGATCTTCCATGGTGCAGGCTGAGTATGAATGCAGTTCAGTGACTGATTAACCCACCCCGTGGACGGGCTGGCAGCTCAAGGGTTGAGCACACCCAACTTTACGGTGCCCACCCTGTGCTCAGGGCAGAGTTAGAGTGGGGGGTAGTTCCCCTAAGAGTCACAACCTTCCCCTTTTCTTTCTTCTGCTAGTTTTGTTTATTTTGTACATTTTATTTTTAGATAGGGACGGACAAAGAAGTTTTTATTTTTAGTTTTTTAGATGTTTGCCACAGAGCATTATGCGCTCGCTGGAGGAAGAGACACACAGCGAGAAAGAGAGCAACAAAAATCACCCCTGTCCCCACAAGGAGAGAGCCTCGCCACGATCCCTTCTCCTCTGTTGTCCTCCCAGGAGTTTGGGCACTCAGGCACATGCACCTGGTGTGGCTTCCCAGCCTGCCAGGTCTTGGACTCAAACTGCAGTCGGCCCTGTGGGAACAGCACCTTAAGCACCTCAGCACGCCACCACCTGCTGGCCAGGAAAATAATTTTTTTTCTAATTGTTTTCGATTTTTGCCATAGAGTGTGTGCACTCGCCAGAGAGAGACAGACAGGGAAAGTGAGTAGTCACACCCGGGGGGATAGACACACTGCAATGCCTTCTCCTCTGTTCTCCCCTCGGGACTTGGAGCACACACGTGCACCTGGACTTGAATCGTGGCTGACCAAGTAGGAATGCAGTGCCTTAACCGCCATGCTACCTGCTGGCCCCAAGAAAATAATTTTTAGAAAAGATTATTATTATTATTTGCTATAGGGTGCATATGTTTGCTAGAGAGACAGAGAGACAAAGAGAGGGAAAGTGAAAGGCACCTTCCAACAGGGGCTACAATCCCTTCTCTTTCTCCTCCATTCTTCTCCCAGAGTTTTGGGCATAGGCACTCACCATTTTTATGTCCAGGACTCAGACTCGACAGTTGAACATGTGGGATCCTTCTGCCTTAACCACCATGCCACTGGCTGGCCATAAACAAAGGGATTTGAAGGTGGGGAACACAAGAGGAAGAAATATATGAGAGAGGGGTGTCTGAGAGGTGGAACTTGGGCAGAGGCACATAGCCACGTTGTGAGGAAGGACAAAGTGCAGGATGTGCCTTGCACTGAGGGGAAGAAGTCCCAAGCTTGCCCTCTCTGCTCAGCTCTTCATATGCTATTGACTGGGACCAGCAGATGGCATAATGATTATGTCACTGGACTCCCACGTAGTCAACCGTGGTTCATAGTGCCAGACCTGGTGGCTTAAAACTCACGTCGGGTGCGTGTGTGAGTGCCCAAAATCCCAAGAGGAGAATGGAGGAGAAGGGGTTGCAGTGTGGCCATCCCCCCCAGGGGATGATTACTTGTTTTGTGTTTCTCTGTCTCTGTCTCTCTGGAGAGCACATGTGCCCTTAGAGCAAAAATCTTCCTCTTAAAAAAAATAATGCTGTTGACTTGTGCTTTCTGGGACATTCCTTGGTTTTTACAACAATTTCTGCTGCTCTTTAATTGCAAGATAATTGTGAGACCTCCCGCTAAATCTTTCAATTGCCTAAGTAAAGGATGCAGTTCCCAGAAGCGAATGAATTGAAGGAAGCAAAAGCAGTCACAACAGAAATAGAAACGTTAAGAGACATCATAGTAACATGGGATACTTTATTCACTCATAAGCATCTATTGTGCTTATCTATCTGGCTCTCCTACAAACAAGAGGTGGGACAGGCATGCCACAGATAAAATCACAGCAATCGTTAGCAAGACTGAGTGTTCAGTCCATGCCAGGCACGATGCTGCACACTTCACATGTGCTACTTAGCCGAGTTGTGACCCTTTCGTGCAGCCTCCCACTTTTTAAATAAGGCACGAAGAGGCTCAATAAGGTAAGCTCACCAAATAACAACTGCACAGATGTCTCCACTGTGCAGGAGGACGCACAGCTCCAGTGTGAAAACAGCCCACAGACAACAATGTCCACAAAATAGGCGAGAAGAATGAGCACTTTTCTACATGAGCTCAGTGATGAGATACCACTTCCAGGAGAGAAACGGATGGTGAAGGCACCATGGGGAAGCAGGATCTGAAGTGGGTTTGAAAGATGCATGGTTTCCGGTGGAGGTGACAGTGGCCCTTATTATATGTGCATTAGGCTAATATTCTGCACTTCTTTCTTATTCTAATCTTCTGTTCTATTCTATTCTATTCTAGTCTATATTCTATTCTATTCTATTCTATATTCTATTCTATTCTACTCTGAATGTTTCTAGCTAAGAAACAGATTTTATAATCCACTAATGGCAGATTCATACAGTTTAGCTATCGAGGTTACCTGAGCAGGAGTGGGAAATAGGAAGGGGGTGCATGGAGAGAAGAAGGAGGACAGACTGCACTGGGGTACACCTCACGGGGAAGGTCAGTGACCAAGCAAGTGACTGGAGTGGGGCTGGAGGGGGTGGCTAGGGCACTGCTCCCCAAAGGGCAGTGCTAGGATTAGCCACGGGTTACCCCCTGGCAACTCCTCCAACAGGCAGACTCCCAGCCTGCACTCCAGACCTACTGAATTAAAACCTGCATTTCAACCAGAGCCCCTGGTGGTGATCTGCATGTACTTTAGAGAACACTTTAGAGGGAAGGACAGAATCAGAAGTTACTCTAAGGCCTGAAACCGAGTTCCTAAGACAATGACAGGAAAGTTGGAGATGAACCAAATGGTTTTTGTGACAAGATTATTTTATTTTTAGATAATTTGATCTTAAAAAAGCTTAGGATATCTAAATGGAAAATTGACAGAATTACTAGCCCGTGTGTCGATACAAAAGAGGGGATTTATTGGGGGAATCAGTTCACACAATTATGGCCACTGAGAAGTCCCACAGCAGGCCACCTGCAAGCTGGGGATTCTGGGCTACTGGGTGCTGGAAGCTGGATCAGTTCGAGTCCAAAAGCCTCAGAGGCAAGGAAGCTGATGATTAACTCATGGACTGAGGCTGAAAGCTGAGAAAACAGGGGGTGGGCATTGGTGTCAATCCTGAAGTCCAGAGGCAGACGAGCTTTGAGTTCTGATGTCTGAGGTAACAAAAGTCTATCGTGTACTGTCTCAAAAAAGACGCAATTGTCTTCTGGTCTTTGGCCCTTATTCTCTGCTGGCCCTCATGGATTGGTTTGTGCCCACCCACTTTGGTTAATCCCTTCTGGAAACAGACACCCAGAATGCTGCTTTTCTACAGTAGATACTCCTGAGTCAGTCAGGTTGATAC